CCCATTCACAAATCTGTTTTGGATAGAATCACTACCCTCTGCAGAGCTTTCTTGTGGGGAAGTAAATTCTGTAAAGTGGCCTGGGATGACATCTGTAAACCCAAAGATGAAGGGGGTTTGGGACTCAGAAACTCAACCATTTGGAACCAAGCACTACTGGCTAAGTGCTTCTGGAACATTGCAGCAAATAAGGAAACCTTATGGATACAATGGGTGTATTCTGTCTACCTCCAGGGCAGTGACATTTGGACCTGGAATCCTTGCAAAAAGGATTCACACTTCTTCAAGAAGATTGCTGAGATTAGGGACTCTCTTTTGCAAAAGTGTGGTGACATATTCATGATTGAAGACAATTTGTGTGACATGGGGGATATTAAAGCCACCAAGGTCTATGATCTTTTGAGGTCCAAGGGTAACATTAGACCTTGGATGAAAGCAATTTGGAAGCCTTATATCCCTCCTAGATATTCCTTCACTTTTTGGCTTACCCTACGAGGAAGACTTCCCACAAAAATGAATCTCCATTTCCTACAGCTGGATAATAGGAATTGTGAGTTCTGCCATACTGAGGAGGAAACTGCCCAGCACCTCTTCTTCCTTTGTGAGAATACTGCTCTCATTTGGGGAGCCATCAGAAATTGGCTTCATATTGCACCAGCCTTATCCTCACTTGAGAGAGCCATTGAATGGGTTGGAAGACAGAGACACAGTCATTGTGCTAAGAGGAAAATGTGGAGACTGGCAATCTTGTGCACTGTCTATACCATCTGGAGAAGCAGAAATGGATGCTACTTTGACCATGAAGGATTCAACACTGATACTATCATTTACAAAATCAAAGTGGGGGTATATAAGGTGATGTAGAGATTATACCCCCAGGAATCCCTAATCCTTTGATCATTCTGCTTGTGACCAGCCTCTGGAGTTACTACTTTGGATGGGTTACCTTAGAACCAAGGTAAAGTCTTTTTGAGGATACCTTCTAAACTTTGTGATTTTCCCTTTCCTCCAATGATAACTTTGTGTTTGAGGAGTGTTTGATCTTTGCCTGACTGTTTGGGGTGGTGGAAATGAAGTTAATCCTTTGACCCTGTGTGGGCTGAAGGTCTAACTTCAGGTCCTGGACTGACTTGGAAACAGTTCAAATAGTAGATACCCATCTCTGGATAACTAAAGTTTGAGCTGGGTCTAGTTTTGGTCCTTGGGGTGCTGGAACAGTTTCTCTTCTGAGATTGCTGTTCCTTGGGTTTGGGCCAGCCTCAATGGCTTAGTCTCTGGACTATGGTATTGGGGTGGTGGAAACAATTTTACCTCTTTATACCCCTTCTGGATATAAAGAGGTATCATTGGGTCCCAGTTGGGGTGTCTTCACCCACCTTCTTTCTTTTCTCTCCCCCCCTCCCTTCTTTTCTCCCTTCCTTTTCCTCCCTCCTCTCTTGCTGATATTTCTGCTGGATACAATCCATTACATAAGCTAGCTCCTTCCTTTGAGTGGGATTATGTAGATGGTTGTATTTGGCTTGGGTTTTTTGGGTGGGTTAACCCCTTGTGGGTGGCTGAAACAGACATAAGTCATTGTACCCCTTCTGGATACATTGAATTAAGTCTGGGTCCGGTTGGGGGTGTTTGCACCCTGCTTCCTCCTTTTTTGCCCCCCCTTACCCCTTCTTCTTCCCTCTTTTTTCTCACCCCCTTCTTTCTCTTCACTTCTTTCCCAGCTTTCTCATGTTCTTGGACTTAGCCCAATTGCATATAACATCTCTTTCTTTGAGCTGTATATGTATGAAGGTTAGTCCTCCTTGCTCTGAGGCTACTTGGTTACTGGTTCTGAAATTTGGTTGGTTCTGTGGATCCTATGATTGGAGGCTCAAAACCTCCACCCTTAATCACTCTTCTGAAGGTGTTTGTTTGCTGCCCATTTCACTGACAGATGGGAGTGTGGATGAATGGATAGCTGTTTACTCTCTGTGGCTGTACCCCAGTTTTCTCTACCACTAGTAGTGACTGGTGCCATGTTGTACACCAGGTTTTGTGCTCTACCTGATTGTGCTGATTGTGCTGAGAATGGATTGTGATTTGGTTGTGACTTTTGCCTCTATGTTTTGCTTGCCTTTGCTCCCTGTGTTGTAGGAGAGATGACACACTCTTTGAAGGGAAATCACTCCCCTGTGTTGTAGAAGAGATGCTGCACTCTTTGAAGGGAGATGGACACACCTAGTCGCAATGGTTGTTTCACTACTAGCTGTCAACCTCTATTGGGTGGTATCCGTGCTGATTGCTGTCTGCTACTTGGGTTCTGACATGTTCCTTTTGTTTGTGAAAGGGGGTCTTGATCTTCTGAACCTAGTTGTGATTGGACATATTTGATGCTGCTGATGCTATCCAATACCTTGCTTGACTCAACTGGAATGTGGAGCGTGTTGCAATTTGGATTTGAAGTTTGTTTTGTTCTGTTTGTATTTTGTTTGTAATCTCCTGCTGAAGTTGGTATTCGGTTATCTTTTTGGTTCTTAGTGGTTCACTTTGCTTTGATTTGGCCTACTACCTTTGTTTATGTAGGGGCGTTCTGAATTGTAATTTCTGCTTTGTATAGGCGTTTAGGTTGTTTTTTGCACCAATGCAAGTAACCATCTTATGGTTAAGCATTTGACATTCTTGTATTCTTTTGATTACGGGTAATAATAATTTACATGTTACCTTTGAAAGAGCTCTCAATTGTGAGCCTGCATTTCTCGCTGCATTCCGAACATTTTGTTGGAAAGCCATTGTGAGCCTGACGCTCCAGTGTTCAACACTGTCAAGGGAAGGGTACGTTGGACCCCCCTAGTGTGTGATAGCTGAGACTTCTTGGGAACCCATAACCCCTTGTGTGATTTAGGATGCCAGATTGGGTGCTTCTCTCGTGATTTGTGACATCACGCCTGGTCTACTTGAGTTTACATGGGCCAATTGCCGTTGCCGTCTCTGTTCAGGTATGGCTGAGTTTACTCTGGCAATGTGGTGAATGTTGAACTTGTGGACTTGGGTCACGACATCTATTCCTTGAGGGTGAACTTGATGAGCCTAGACATGTTGAGGACTTGTCGTTGTAGTGGCAACAATGACGCAAATGACCCCTTTGGGTTGGTGTCTTGATGATTCATAAAGCCCTCCGGTGGTGTCTCACTTTCGGAGTTTTGATGAGGATTTTGCTTCCTTTTGATGACCCATTGACGACGTTGATGCATATTACGAGGACGAGACTTGGTGATGGTGATGATCACGTTTCTATGTGATGTACATTTTTTCCCTTGTGCTTGTTTACTCATGTTTTGTAGTTTGGGCGTGCGTGCCTTTGGCGTGTGTGCCACTTTGCTTTGATATTATAGGGGTATGCCCCGATGCATTGTATGTTTACTTTGTGGATTTACATTGTATTGACTCTCGGATATTAATAATTTACATTTTATCCTTGAAAGAGCTCTCAATAATGGACTTTCTCTCTCTAGGTCTGGGCAGCACCACGTAGTGAACTGTGCCACGGATCTGCCAATGACGATTTCCCCTTCATTTTGTGGTCCGTTTTTGGTGATTCTTGGTTCCTTGGATTCGTATATCCATGTAGAACACTAATCTCAACTCAATTTCGAAGAATACTGGAGATTTTTGGCTCAATTGAAGGTCAACCGTGTTGCAGACACTGTTCACAGTGGGATTTGCAGGTCTGGTTTCCTTCGATTTGCAGCTGATTTGAACCCCAAATTTGAGGTATTGTGAGCGACTTGAAGTGCCCAATCACATTCTCAAACTTGTGGAGCAATCCCAACAAGAATTTGTGATTTGTGGCTCAACTTGGGATTTCGTACACTGTTCACAGCGAGATTCCAGCTTCAGGTTCTGCTGCTCCTTTCCTCTGGTTTGCTCTTCGTTTTTGGGTGATTCCCATGTGTTGTTGAGCTGTGTTGGGTGATTCCCAAGTTTGTTTTTGTGGTGTACACCTATCATTTGTTCTTGGCATTTTCGTGGCTGTTTCTGTGACTTGAGGCCACTGCATTCTGGTTTCTTTGAGCTGCTGTTGAATTCTTCTTTGTTATGGGGAAGAGGACCAGCAAGAAAGGAAATAAAAAGCACAAACACATTACCAAGTTTGTGTTTGATGGTACACCAGTGAGTGAAGCCAGGCTGAAGTCAAATGCAGAAGCAACCACCAGTGGAGTTCCTGCTGCCCAGACCAGTGGAGCTGCTTCTGTCCAAACCAGTGGCGTTCAACCTGCTGCTGTTTTGGAGGAAAATGACCATGTTGGTGACAACATACAAACCCCCATTGTTTCTAATCCTTCGAAGGATGATTGGAAGGAGAGGAAATTACGAAATGGCAAAGCTAAAGCTGACCAAGATGGGATTGGCGCTGGCTCTAACCATGATGTAGAACCCTCTAAACAGATGGTTTCTTGTGAGGAAAAGGATGGAAAGGCTTTGGGCAGTGGTATGGAGTCTGATTCTTCCCTTTGGACTGTGGACATGGATAAACTTCGGGATTCACCCTCTATCTACCCTATTTTACCCAAGCCCTCATATAAGGAATTGGCCTGTTCTAGTGGCCAAAACCGTGACCCTTCGGAGGGCTACCCTTTGAAGAAGGTTGAGGTGGGGGACGTGGTCAAAATACCGGAAGAAGGGGTCTCGAATCTTGAAGCTGAGTGGGGGTTCTGCCTCGTGGGCTGTTTCACAGGCCGGTTTCCGGGCATCAAAGCCATTGAGGGGTTGATCTCGTCATGGCATTTACAGTGTAAACTCCTTCCCCACGAAAAGGGCTGGGTGATCTTCCAGTTTTTGAGTGACGAAGACCGTAGGAAGGTTCTCTGTAATGGGCCTTACGTCCTCTATGGTAAGACCCTTTTACTACGCATTCTTCCGGAAGTGTTTCGCTTTGATTTTGATGCTTTTATGACGGTGGATGTGTGGGTTAAATATGTTGATGTGCCTTTGCAATTGTGGAATCCTGTTGCCTTCGAGTGCTTGGGGTCTAGACTGGGAACCCCCATACGCACCGACGGAGGAACAAAAAATAAGGGAAGGTTGAGCTATTGTAGAATGTTGATTCGGATTGACATGTCTAAGGAGCTCCCTACATCCTTTGTGGTTTCTCTCCCTGATGGAGAAGAATTTACTCAAAAGGTTGTGTACGAAGGCCTTCCAAATTATTGCTATCATTGTAAAAAGTTTGGACACAACCAATTGAGCTGTAGGGTTCTCCGAGCCCTAAACCACAGAAAATCTGGGAATTATTTTGACAAGCGTGACAGGAACACCTTTGGGAAGGCTGACTTGGTTAGGAAAGGGGCTGATTCTGCCCTGGGTATTCCAGCCCCTGCCAAACCGAGAAAAAGGAGGAGAAGAGCTAAGCGTAAGTTGGGACGTGGACCTAAGGCCTTGGGCAGTCATGCCATGCCCACCCCCACTGCGTTGCCTTCCTCAAAGGACACCATGAAGACGGCCAGGACTGAGGGCAATGGCGCAGAACCTGCTGCCAAAACCGTGAACCATGATGGGCAAGGTGATGTATGCTCTTCCACCACCATTCCGAAGGATTCTCTTGATCCTAATGGTGCAACAAAGTCTACGGCCAAGGCTACTAAGAAAGTAGCACAAACGGATGCTAAAGGTTTGGGTGGTGGAGCTCCAGCTTCAAACCAAAATCTGCAGCAACCTAAGGAAAAGAAGAGCTTGAGTGGAAAACAGCCCGACACTGTGGGCGATGATGACCAGCTCGTTGGCACCTCCTCCACCCCTGCGCAAGTTGAGCAAGCTGTCCAAGCAAACTCCAAGGTAGGGGCGTCCATCACAGAGAAGGGGAACAAGCCAACTGGAGCGGCCAAGAAGGCAGACCTGACCACCACAGAGAGCACACCACAAAAGGCACCATGGCGAATAAAGCTGGATAAGCAAAAGGAAGAGTGGCTTGATCGACTACTAGCCCAAGCAATGGGGAGAGTGGACAGATCAGATCATGGATTACCTAAGCTTGGACCGGCCAAACTTCGGGAGATCATTGCCCGCAACCCTCCTTGTTTGAGGGATGCCTATGGAGCTCCGGTGGATACTCTGGAGTTTATGCATTGGGAAAGATCAATGAAAATGCTTGGACGAATCAAATAGTCTTGGCCTTATCTCTTTTCTAGTGCTTGTTTGACATGACTTGTCTTTGATTTTTAGGGGTATGCCCGATGCATTGGTTGTATGTATTGTACGTACTCTTTGTATTGACTCTTGGATATTAATAATTTACATTTTATCCTTGAAAGAGCTCTCAATATCTTGAAAGAGCTCTCAATGGCTTGGGGCGTATTTCTCTCTCTAGCGCTGGGCAGTCCCGTCGGCACTGTTCATCCATATTGAGACTTCCGATTCCAGCCTTATTCTTGATGTTTTTGGCACGATTTTGGAGCTCTTGATTCGTTTGGAGCCGAGGAATCCATTCCCAGGCTTGGTTTTTGGATTACGCTGCTGTAATTGGGTGAAATCGCAGGTCAAAGTTCGAGTTTTACTGTTCATCGACGAACATCAAGATTCCAATTGGCCTCGTTTCCAGCACGTTTGATGCCTAATTTTTGGGGGTTTAGGGGCGGCTTGGGATGCTTATTCAAGGCCTGAAGTCGGATTATCATTCCAATTGAAGACCTCTACGAATTGAGCATTATCTGGATTCAAAGTCACTGTTCACAGTCCGATTTTGAACTCCAGGTTTTACCCAGCTGCTGCCTCTTTCTGCTCCCAATTTTTTGGCCTTGACTTCGTTTTTCAGGGGCCTTTCAATGTCTATTGTTGGATTTTTGATTCACATAACTTGAATTGGTCTTCTTGATTTTGGGTTGCTCGAACTACTGTTCATGTTCTTAGTTTTTCTCTGCGGCTGTGCTACTGGTTTGGGCTGTTGCTTATGCTGGTTGGCTTTGTTGTTTGAGCATTATACTGATTGAATGTGGACTGACTCTCTGGTGCATTTTGGTCATAATCTTCATTTGATGTATTGTTTCATCTTCTTCATTTGAGACTGTCCAGAGGCTACTGCCTGTGTGGTTTGATTGGCATTTGGGTCTGGTTTTGCTTGTTGTAAGGTGACTTGTACTTGAATGGGGTGAGGACCATGTTTGGGTTTGGAAAATTTTGATTTCCAGGCTGCCATCTTCAAACAACAAACCCTCCTATGGGTTTGATGTTTGCTCGCTGAACTCAAGCTCTTGAGGGATGGGGATGGTTAGCATAGGTTGCTGGCAGGCCAACCTTCTCCCTTTTGCATTGGATGATCCTCTTCTGCCTCGGTTTGGTCTACCACTGCCCAGGCCCCTCATGTCTCTGTTTAGCATTCATGCTTAGTGTTTTTTGGCAGCTTTTGGGCAGCCATACTACCTGCTGTTTGTAGTGCTGAATCATGGCCTATTGAGGACGGCTCTGGGTGGGAAAAGGCCGCTGTGTTGCTGGTTTGGGGCTGCCTAAAGGTCCATTTGCTTGGGCCCTTTGTGTGCCATGAACTGGCCTTCTCTCCTCAGTTTGGAGTCGATGAACACCTTGGGAGGGTTACTAAACATTTCTCGCTGCCTCTTGACTTGTTGGGAAGCCATTGTGAATCTGTGATTCCAATGTTCAACACCATTAAAGGAAGGGTACGTTGGCACCCCCTGGTGTGATAGTTGAGTTTTGTTGGCAACTCCTTTACCCATGTGTGTGATTTGATGCTGGACTGGATGTTTTTCAAGTGCTTTATGACTTCGGGCCTGGTCCACTAGAGTTTACTTGAGCCATCTGCTATTGCCGTCTTTGTTTCTGATTCGGTTGAGTTTACTCTAGCACTTTGGCCTTTGATGAACTCGTGGACATGGGTCATGGCATCTCTTTCTTGAGGGTGAACTTGTTGATCCTACACGTGTTGAGGACATGTCGTTGTAGTGGCAACAATGACTCAAATGAACCCTTAGGTTTGGTGTCTTGATGATTCATAAAGCCCTCCGATGGTGCTTCACCTTCGGAGTTTTGACGAGGAAAGAACTTCCTTTTGATGATCTTTTCAGGTTGACAATCCATGATGACGAGGACAAGCCCCGGTGATGGTGCTGATCATGTCTCTGTGTGATGTACTTTTCTCTTGTGCTTGTTTCTCTAGTTTTGTTGATTGGGCGTGCGTGCCTTTGGCGTGTGTGCCATTCTTTATTTTCGATTTATAGGGGTATGCCCCGATGCATTGTATGTTTACTTCATGGATGTACATTGTATTGACTCTCGGATATTAATAATTTACATTTTATCCTTGAAAGAGCTCTCAATGCCAGATTGGGTGCTTCTATTGTGCTTTGTGACATCAGGCCTGGTCTACTGGAGTTTACATGGGCCAATTGCCATTGCCGTCTCTGTTAAGGTATGGCTGAGTTTACTCTGGTGGCAAATGCTGAACTTGTGGGCTTGGGTCACGGCATCTATTCCTTGAGGGTGAACTTGATGAGCCTACACATGTTGAGGACTTGTCGTTGTAGTGGCAACAATGACGCAAATGACCCCTTTGGGTTGGTGTCTTGATGACTCATAAAGCCCTCCGGTGGTGTCTCACTTTCGGAGGTTTGATGAGGATTTTCCTTCCTTTTGATGACCCATTGACGACGTTGATGCATATTACGAGGACGAGCCTTGGTGATGGTGATGATCATGTTTCTTTGTGATGTACATTTTTCCCTTGTGCTTGTTTACTCATGTTTTATTGAATGGGCGTGCATGCCTTTGGCGTGTGTGCCACTTTGCTTTGATTTTATAGGGGTATGCCCCGATGCTTTGTATGTTTACTTTGTGGATATACATTGTATTGACTCTTGGATATTAATAATTTACATTTTATCCTTGAAAGAGCTCTCAATCTGTCAATCCTTACTATGTCTGGACCTGGTAAGTTTCCCCGTGTTGAGTCAAATTAAGCCGCAGGCTCCACTCCTGGTGGTGCCCTTCCGTCAATTCCTTTAAGTTTCAGCCTTGCGACCATACTCCCCCCAGAACCCAAAGACTTTGATTTCTCATAAGGTGCCGGTAGAGTCCTAAAAGCAACATCCAC